TGTGAGAAGCTCGTGATTGAACCCACATTTGCGCGCCCGTGAAGAAAGGGATTGAGAAAAATAAAATAGAAAAATAAAATAGCTCGTGATTGAACCCACTTGGCATAAAACTCAAACACCTACACACAAAACCGAAGAAAGGGATTGAGAAAAATAAAATAGATTAAGTTATAAAATAAAACAAAATAAACTAAAATGGAAAATGGGAGAATTAAAACTAAAACTAACACAATTAAATAAAATACAAACAAATAAAATAAGAAAAAGACTAAAAACTAATTATAATTAATAAAAGTAAAATAAAATACTTTAAAGGAAAAATAAAGGACAAAATAAAAACAAATCCAAAGCAAATAAAATACGAAAATAAACTAGAAATCAATTAAATAAAGAAATTAAACTAAAACAAACTAAAACTAAATAATAAACTAGAAAGTTTATTAAAAGGAAAATAAGAGAATAAAAGGGAAAACAAGATAAAATAAACTCGAAAAAGGACCTAAACACTATAACTAAGAGTGACATAAATGTCCCTCATCAATAAAGAAAACAAACTACAAACTAAAAGAAAATAATAAAAGGAAAAAAGCGAGAATAATAATATTAATAGGAAAAAAGACTAAAACATAAGAGAATAAGAAACATAAATAAATTACGATATTAAACTAAAAACTCCAAAATACTCAAATAAAAAGATAAAAGACGAGAATAAGAAAATAATAGAAATAAAGGACAAAATGAGCTAAATTATTAAAAAATAAGCCAGAAAAATGACTTAATAAAACCCTAGAACTAACATAAAAGTCACTTATCAAACATCCCCAAGCTAACCCTTGCTCGTCCTCGAGCAAATTAACATGAAACACGAGAGAAGGAGAGTGAATTATTCAAGCAAGAAAAACTAAAAAGAGAAATCATATACACTAACTCACTTTCGTAGGAATCACGGTCAGTTTTAGCAACTAAAGACAAGCCCTTTAAACCCCTAGATCACCCTAGAGGACGAGTATGCTTTCGTGAGGGTTTCCTAAGAGCTTAACCCACAACTCTAGATGAAAACCAAGGCAAAACAAAAAGAAAAAGAAAAGCAAACACAAAAACCAAACACAACCATGACCAACATAACATGGCAAAGTTTAGGAAAACCAATCAAGCTCAAAGACGGAAAAAAAGGAAAAAAAAAAGAAGAAGAGATATGCACCAGAAAATACTCACCTTTCTTAATTCAATGAGGGAAAACACGTTCTAAGATGCTCATGGTTGAAAGAGACAAACCTAAGCTAAGCATAGAGAACTAGAGAATTCAATCTCCGCCCTAGCCCCATCTAAGACGGTCCACGTTCTCACCACTAGCTTCAAATCATCCCCTAGTTAGCTCCTCATGATTCCACGAAGGAACCAGAATAAGATTCAATTTGTGGAATTAGTGGGTCATACCAACATCTCAACTATGCATACTCTCTCCATAGGGTTGAAATCTATCTCCCTCCACCGAAATTTGAACTCACCCCTCTAAAGTCTAAGGGTCTTAACTAGGGTTGTAACGTAAGGCAAAGGGTTAAGGCGGGGTAAAAATTCCAAAATTTTGGTGATATTTCCTAAGTGAAGTAAAAGGGTGATCAAACCTCAAAAACAAACTTAAGAAATCACCAAACATCAAACAAAAATACCAATAATGCCATCTCCCTCAAGCTTACTCAACACCAACATTCCATAAAAAAAGAAAAGGATATTTTGGATTTTAACACCTTACAAAAGGCTGAAAATGTTTTTTAACACCCCCCAAAAAAAAACTTTTATTTTAACACCTCCCAAAAATATAAAAGTTGGAAGTTAACACCAGTTAACGATTTCCGTCACGGAAATTTAACGTGGGTCCCACAAATTGGCTTGAACTTCAATTTTCACCCAGCAAAACACGAAACTTCTTTCTTCATTGAATTCGCAGCAACCTTCTGCATTGAATTCTTTCTGAACCTTCATTGATTTCGCTTTTGAACCAAAGGAGATCTTGGCTGAGAAGTGGAGTGTAGGGTGGTGTCAACGTTGGAGAAGATAAGCTCAGGAGGGTTTCTTCATCATCTTCTTCAACTACAAAAGTGCGAAAGCCGCTTGAAATTCACAGAAAATAAGGTAAAATTGCTCTCCTTTGATAGCAATTTCGTCAATTACTGGTGCTTCATTGCTGTAAACCTTGCAATAATTGGGTAATTAGGGTAAATTTTGGGACCACAGTAGGAAAGCCTTGATAAATCAATTTCTGTAACTGACTATGCGACTTAGGTTAATTGGATTTCGTAATTGAAAGTAGAGATTAATTAAGGTGGTTTATTGTTAATTAAACTAGCAAGTGTGGTTTGTTGATTAATTTATGTTACTGAGCACCTACATTGGCTTGTATATGTTTATTTTCAATTTTTTTATGTGTTTGTTTGTGTGGCTGTGATGGATTTGTTTATTCGTATTGTGCATGTATAGTTACATGGCTTTTAATATGTTTTATATGTTTTTCACTGGTGGGTAGATAATGGGTGACAAGGATAGTTTGGTTGACATCTGCCTTAGAGTGGGAGGTGCTTTTGTCCCTAAAAGAGTAACCAAAAACAGGCAGCTGCTGTGTTGGTGTGGTGGTTGGTGTTACTGGAAGAGGAAGGTTCAAGTATCTAAGTTGGATGTGCATTTGATTAGAACAGCTGCAATTCATGGTTTTGTTAATGGTGATATGGATGTGCCTATGCATTACAGCTGTTGGTATAGGCAGAAGGGGAAAACCTTTAACACTGGGAAAAGGGAACTAGTTAACAGTGAAGAGGTTAAGGGCCTTTTGGAGACAGTAAATGAAGAGGGGTATGTTGAGGTTTTTGTAACAACAGAAGCTCCTAGTCAGCCCATACAAGAGGCCCAACCCAATCCTGCAAAGACAAAAAAAAAGGATAAGAAGGTAGAAAGTTCAAATACATCGACTATTAGGAGGAGCCCTAGGTTTAAGAAGACAGAAACTGAACAAAGGGAGGAGAGTCCACCTAGGAAAGCCTCAGCTAATGCTAAAGTGTTGAGGTTTGATGAAGAAAAGGATGATGGATGTGAAGGATCTGGTTATTCAAGTTCAGATTTGAGTGATGAGGGACAAGATTGGGAACCTGGTGAAGAAGAATTTGATGAAGGGGATGAGGAATGGTATATTGAAGGGTCAAAGGAGATCTTGGCCAAAGTGAACAAGAGCCTTAGGAAAGGTTTGGAGAGTGCAGTAGATGACAGGGTTGGCAAAGATAAGAGAGTAGAGTTGAGAAATGATTTGGATGTTGGAAAACCGAAGGTGAATCCAGAAAGTGATGCTGATTCAGATGATTCAAGGAGTTTGTGTGGATCTGATGAGGAACAGGACTATGCTCCTTGGTTTAATGCTGATGTGGACTTTGACAACCCAATCAAGTTGAAGTTAAATCAGAAATTCAGTAATGCTTCAGTCTTGAGGAGGGCCTTAAGACTTCATGCCATTCAAAACAGGTATGAGTTCTACTACTTGCATAATGACAGTAAAAGGATTACAGTTCAGTGTAGATATAGATGTGGCTGTGAGTTCAATAGCTACACTTGTAGAATGCCTGCTTGTACATGTGTGGGGGGGGGGGTAAAGTGTCAGTTCAAGGTGTTTGCATCAAAACTTGTTAAGCAGCAAACTTGGCAAATCAAAACCTTGAATTTAGACCATTCCTGCTTCAGAGTAAAGAAGAACAAGATGCTTACTGCTGAATACATAGCAGAGAGGTATTTAGAAGATTTTAGGAGTAACCCTGGTTGGAGAATTAAGGAGATTAGGGCTAGGATTTTGAATGATTTAGGAGTTGATGTGAGTTACTATAAGGCATGGCTAGCTAGGTGTAGGGCAAAACTACTGATATTTGGTTCAGCTAGGGAGCAGTATGCTAGGGTGTGGGATTATGGGAAAGCTGTGATGAAGTACAACCCTGGTTCAGGGTGCAATGTTGTTGTTGATGGTATTGACAGGCCAGAGCCACCATTGTTCATGAGGATGTTCATCTGTTTAAGGCCATTGAGAGATGGATTTGCAAAGGGTTGTAGGCCTTTAATAGGGTTGGATGGTTGTCACCTCAAGGGTGCCTTTCCTGGGCAAATTCTGGTGGCAGTTGCTAAGGATGGGAATAACAACTTGTTTCCTCTAGCTTGGGCCACAGTGGAGATTGAAAACCAGGAAACTTGGGGTTGGTTCTTGGAATCCCTTATGTCAATGTTCACACATGATCAAGGAGCTGGGCTGACCATCATGTCTGACAGGCAAAAGGTAATGCTTCTGTTTCCCTCTTAACTATTTAGGTTCAATTTCTAAGTTTTCATGTGTATGTATGTGATTGACTGATGATTATTCTTTTGTCTGCATTTGGTAGGGTTTGATTAAAGCAATGGCTGATGTTATTCCCAAAGCTGAGCAAAGGTTTTGTGTGAGGCATATTTGGGCTAACTTCAAGCTCAACTTCACTGGATCAACCTTTAAGGAGCTGTTTTGGAGAGCAGCTAGGGCCACCACCATTGTAAGTTTATTGATTGTTGAAGCTAGCCTATGCTTTTATATGACTGTTGGTGTGTTTTTATATTGGTTAGCTTGTATATGCTTGGTGTGATTTCTGGTATGCTTTTATATGTCAGTTTGAGCATGAAATTGCCATGGAGTCTATCAAATTCCTCGATGAAGAGGCATATGAGTATTTAATCAACATTCCTCCCCACCATTGGTCTAGACATGCATTCACACCAAACTGCAAGTCCAACATGTTGTTGAACAACATGTGTGAGACTTTCAATGCAGTCATTAGGCCTGCCAGAGATAAACCTATCCTCACCCAAATGGAATGGATGAGGAGGTATATTATGAACAGGAATAATGAAAAGTGGGAGGATTCAAAAAACAATTACACACAACTTAGTGCCATATGTGAGGCATGTTCTGGGGAGGATAGACTTTGTGGCTAGGTCCTGTGTGGTGCAGCCATCCAGAGGGAATACATTTGAGGTGCAGCTGAAGGATGACCAGGTGTTGGTTGATTTGGACAAGGAGACCTGCACATGTTACCATTGGGAACTCACTGGCATTCCATGTGTTCATGCTTATGCCTGCATATTGGATATGAGGGGTGACATAGAGGCTGTTGTTGACCCATACTATACCATGGACACATACAGGTCTGCTTATGAACCAGCTGTCCAACCAATGCCTGGCCCAAAGCACTGGGAGACAGTCAGAATGAGGGAACCACTACCCCCTTCTGTTAAGGTGCAACCTGGGAGACCAAAGAGCAAAAAAAGGAAGCTTGAGCCAGGAGAATGTTCTTCTTCAGGTGGTCAGGCAAGTACCAAGAGGAAGAAGCAATGCAGCAACTGTGGGGGATATAGGCATTATGCCAAGACTTGCAAAGTACCTGCTGCACCAGCTACAGAGCTGATAAAGTCAGCAGGCAGACCCCCACTGAACACTCCTTGGATGGTGGAGGAGAGGAAGAAGAAAGAGATTAGGGCTGCTAAAAAGGTAACACAAGCATTACACCAACTCCCCCTTTGTTTTATATATGTATGTGTCTTTTCCATTGACTTTTTATTTTTATATGCATGTCATAGAGTGCAATTGGGGCTGGACCAAACAGCATAGGAAACAAAAAGTTTCCTCAAGAGCAAGAAGGTTGTCTGCCATTCAGCAAGCGCCCACAGCCACAGTCTTCCTCAGCTAAGCATTCCTCAGCTCAGCCATCCTCTAGTCAGCCATCCTCAGCTCAGCCTTCCTCAAGTCAGCCTGCCTCAAGCCAACCAAAAAGAAAGACAAGGTCTTCCTCAAGTCAGCCTACAACAGCCACAGGTGTTGTAACAAGGGCCAGGCTGCAATCCCTCAACAACCTTACTCAGTGATGTACTCATGCTGGATATCAAACATTATGTCTGTTGAACAATTTCAAACTTTTATTATGTACTCATGACTGGTTATGTAACTTGCTAGTTTTTTAGTGGCTTCCCTTAACAAATTTGAACAATTAGATATTGAATTGTAATGGTTGCATGGCTTTGATTGCCATTGAAACATGTTGAAGTAAGGTTCTTTTGTCAACCTGTACTTGAACTATCTTAGTGTTTCACATATTTCCCATGTTTTAATGTTTCACATGTTTAAATAGGTTGATTAAAAGACAAGGCATAAATAGGAACTTAGACAAGGCATAAATAGGTTGATTAAAAGACATATTTATAACACTTCAAGTCATTACAAGAAATTATAACTACTTAATACAGCTTACTATTACACACCCCTAGCCATTAGGAAAATTACACCCATTGACAAACCTATACAAATGGCCATGCCCACCCAACCAAAACAGCTGATTGAAGACACCTTCCCTTCATTGCACTCCCTGTTCATTCTCTTCCTGTCAGCGTTCAAGGCCTTGCATCTCATCTTCAAATTATCAACTTCATTAAGTAGGCACCTCCTTTGGCCACTGATTTCATCAACTTCCCTTTTCAATTCATTAACTTCACCCTTTAGCAGCTTCTTATCCAACAACAGGTTGTTGATAACCCCTGTTTGCCAATCTGTTCCATCAGGTTGATCAACCCATTCGAAAGCTTTGCAACCCCTTGTTTCTGTTATTGGGTCATAAAACTTACATGATATGAACTTCCTGCCTGGATTCTCCCTTGTCCAGCTAGTGAGCTTGGCCATTGGCACACCACACTTACATTTTCTGGCCTCAGGAGGGGAAGAGCTAACAAACGACATAATCTGCATCAATTTTAGATCGACAGTCACATTTACAGATTTGTACACTGACGAATTAACATTGACAGCAACAAAATTCATTTTTAATTTCATAATACGAAAAGCCCCAAATTCAATTTCTGACGAACCCTAATTTCGCAATTGGGCATTTAGATGCGTACATAACATAATCCAACCATTAATCTGAGTACGAAACAATTGCAAATAATAATTGAAGAGAATTTAAACCATAATTACCAAACAACCGAACAATTGACCGCACTCACCTGTTTCAGCAGCTTCAATCTGTTCCTCTTCTCAAAAATCGTGGAAGAATCGTGAAAGAATTGTTTCAAGTATCGTGCAACAATGCAATGCGCTGCTGCTATTCAATAAGAACAACAATTTCGTTCATTGGGGGAGAATCGTGCAAGAATGGTTCTTATATATCGTGCAAGAATCGTGGAAGAATGGTTCTTATATACAGATCTTTTAAAAATATATCCGTTGGGGTGGGCCCCACTAACAGTTCTGTTAACGGAAGATGGATTTTGGTGTTAACTTCCAACTTTTATATTTTTGGGAGGTGTTAAAATAAAAGTTTTTTTTTGGGGGGTGTTAAAAAACATTTTCAGCCTTTTGTAAGGTGTTAAAATCCAAAATATCCAAAAGAAAATGAAGTAACGCTCCCCCCCCCCCCCAAGCTTGAACAAAGCATTGTCCTCAATGCTTAACTTAGGGAAGAAAACGAAACCTACTTTTTCTTTTCTTTTCATTTTTTTCTTATTTATTTTTTTGTTTTTTTTAAAGCTTATTTGATGTCCTTGCCTTTTTAACTAAGGACATCTTTATCTGGGATGCATTTGCTTTATTACACACAATATATACAATTTACTTTCTTGCTTAGTACAAAGAGCATACTACTTTCTCATTTTGATTACAACACAAAACAAACTCTCTAATCGAAATGCTTCACAAACTAAGGGTTAGGGAAACAAAAGGTCATAAGGCTTGTAATGTGGCATATAATCAAGAAAGGGAATAAGCTCAAAGGGTTTGCAAGAGGAGCAAATGAAAAATAAAAACAAAATATGTAACATAACAAAAAGAAGATAAAGAAAAATGAGAAAAGGGTGCCCTTTTCCTCCCCTAGAGCTGCTTGGTCACGATCTTGGGAGTTAGAGGAAAACACAAGGATTAAGATATCCATAGTCAAGGATCCTAAACGCCGCTCAACAAAATTGATGGAGGCTTGAACAATTTAAACCTCAGAATGGATGGGATATAAGCAAACACTAACTAAAGAGATTCATATCCACTATGGAGAGCAACACCATCTTACTACTATCCCGTGAACTAAGGGTTCAAACGTCCTCAATAGTTCTTAACCTTGCTACCTTAGCTTAAAATTTGCCTATCTCAACCACAAGCACTCTCAAACCGTGTAGGCCATCATCAATTAGGAAGAAAAACATTCTTTGGCCATAGTCATGTTTGCCACAAAAAAAAGGAAAACAAAACAAAAGAAAGAGGAAAAAATTTAAAAGGTTCACAAACGAGGCATATAATCCAAATAAGTCCCAATCGTCAAAGAATTGATCATTTGATCCCAGGGTCCATAGAACCAATGCAAATAACCTCGAACCATTCAACTTATTCCTAAACTAGTCCTAAACTAAGCACTCAAAGAAAGAGTAAAAGAGTAAAAATAAGAAAGGTCTCACCGGGAGGTTGGCTAAAAAGAATTAAGGAGAATAAAATAGAGTTCACCAAATGTCACTCCACTCCAATCTTCCAAAAATCAACCTACAAGGCAAGATAAGACACAAAATAAAACAAAAAGAAAAATAAAGGAGGGGGAGAAAAAGGGTTAGAAATCCTCCGGGTTGCCTCCCGGGAAGCGCTTGTTTATGGTCTCTAGCTTGACCCTTCACCTCATTCAAGGTGTATTAAAGAACATCACCCTCATCAACTTGAGGATTGAATCTTAGATGCCCCCAAGCTTAATAATTAGCACTCCTTGAGGTCTCACATCACCACAAGGAAAATGAGGGAATGAATCAAGAGCCAATGGTGGCTCATCTTTTCTCTTTCTCTTCTTCTTGTTGATTCTTCTTCTTTTTTCACTCTTCTTTCTTTTCCTTCTAAAAGGGGGATTGAGATTGGAATCCTCAATATTAGGAAGGGAAACCTCACCTTCCTCAAGAGAGCCTTCAAACCAAGCGAGAACTTCAAGGAAGTCATCATACCTCATTGTCACCTTATCATCACATGGAGGTAAGCTCTCATTAGCCATCACATCATCGACCACATCAACATTACATACGCTCACCGCCATAGGGCTCTTCAAAACGACATTCTCAACTAGCCTACAAGGAAAGGAAACCGGGCCTTCAAACTTGTTTGGTTCATTAAAATCAAATGGATCCTCATTTGGTTCTTGAACCTTCTTCTCAACCACATCATCTACAACCTTATCCTCCTTGCAAGTTTTGGGTTGATAAGTATGTGAAGGGTTAGTAGATGATTGTAAGAGGAGTTTTGTGGTTAAACAGAGAGAAGAAGTTTTGGCTAGTTTGGAATCAACAACTTCATTGTAAGATTTGATTTCTTGGAAGTGTTGAGTGATTATTTGACGTTGTTGAAGAATTTGGGTTTGTGTGTGGTCGGGTGGAGATTTTTCTTCATAAGCTTGAGGACATAGGTCTGATTTTGATCTTGAGAGTTCTCTACTTGGTTGGAAAGGTAGGAAAAGTTTTGGGTTCGTGTATTGAAGAGAGGTCCATCTTCGGGGTAGGATTTTTCTTGCCTTGGAGGTTGCTGAAGTTGTTGGGATTGAGCTTGGGTTACAAACTCTTTTTCCCTCAAAGTCAAAACTTCACCATGCTTGAGATTGAACTCTCTAAAATAGGATGCATCATGATCCGTCCCACCACAACAACCACATGAGAAATCAATGATTTGTGAAGGTTTTGAACACAAACCAACACTTAAGTGCAACTTGGAAAGACCTTCATTCAAGAGCTCAACTATGTGCTTAAGTTGGCCGACTTTCTCCAACTCATAAAGATCTCCTTGCTTTCCTTGGGACCTTCTTTGGCCTCCCCAAGAACAGCTAGTAGCCACTTCTTCAATTATAGCTTCAACTTGGCTTTGAGGGATCTTAATCAATTGGCCACCGGCACCCGCGTCAAGATTGGTCCATGACATGGCTCCAAGCCATCATAGAAGAATCTTATAAGAAAATTACGGTTGAATTCATGATGAGGACATGCTCTAATCAAATCCTTAAACCTTTCCCATGCTTCCCCAAGAGTTTCATCCGGTTCTTGCTCAAAGGAAGCTACCTTCCTCCTCATTTTTGCGGTTTGCTCATCGAAAATGAACCTCATGAGAAAGGCCTTCGCAACTTCCTTCCATGTGGTTAGAGAGTTGGGCCTCAAAATCTTGAGCCATTTCTTTGCTCTTCCGGTGAGAGATTACCGAAAGAGATGCATACGAATGTAATCTTGGCTCACTTCATTTGTTTGCATCATTGCACATAACTCAAGGAATTGGTCCAAATGCTCGATGGGGTCTTCACTTACGCCTCTGAAAAATTGCTCAATTTGCATCATCCCAGCATATTGTGGATGGATTGTGAAATTAGTCTCAGTGGTTGGGAGAACTATACCATTCGTGAGCTCATAGATTTCCGGATTTCCAAACTCCCTAAAAAGAAGGTCATCCTCTTGTCTTGCCAAAGCTAAATACACGATTAGCTACGACAAGTAGGATTAAGCAAGCAAAATAAAAGAAAGGAAAGCAAATAAAAAGACTCTAACAATAGCAAAAATAAATGTTAAACAAGTCGCTTCCCCAGCAACGACGCTAAAATTTGATCGAGGGTTAGATAGGTCGTTAATATACTACCCTAATCAATTTAATCATTTATAATACCTAAACCTACACTAAACAAGTTAGTGGCAAGTAAAGGGTCTTACCACTAGGGAAGCACACTAATTCAACATCAATAATCACTAATGCAAGATTAAAAAGGGGATTGTTTTTGTTGGTTTTGTTGAGTAAGAACACCAAAACTACAAATAAGCAAGAAAATGATGATTAAAATCAAGGAAAAATGACACTAGGGATATGGGGGTGTGCAATATGATTTGAAGGAGGGGAATAATGATGATTATAATGAAATACATGCCAAAGAACACAAGATTCTACCTAAATAATTCATTCTCACGCAATAGTCTAGGCAAATCAATGAAAGAGGTCTACACTAATAAGAATCGATCATTCTCATGCATCCTATTAGTTATAATCAAATCAAGAGAATAAAGAAGCACA